GGGGCGCCGCGGGTCCTCGCGCGTCGGGGGCCCGCACCCCGCCTGGCAGGCCCGCCCTCCACCTCTGGCTCGTCAGGAAGTTGGTTCTCTCCTTCCTACGGCTTCGATCCTCCGCCCCCGGCCCCGCTGGAGTCTAACCCCCTCGCGCCCAGCCCCCCTCCTCCGCTCCCGGGAGCAGAGAGGTGCGGAGCGGAGGCGAGGGGCGAAGGAGGGGGGAGTCTCGCCCGCACTCCGGGCGTCTTGATGAGCGACTCATGCCCGCGCGGGGCCGGATTAGCCGGGACGCAGGCGGGGGAGGGGGGCGCGGGCGCATGAATTCGTGATGCCCCATCTGGCGAGCCGCCGTCTGCGGGGGCCCTGGGTGTGCGCCGCACGTGCTCGGCGGGGACGCTCCTGCGTATCTGCAGTCGGACGTTGCAAACGTTAAGTTGAATGGATGGATTTATTTGTGGGGAAGGGTAGCAAAGATTCGCTTCCAAATCGCGCGTCCTTCGGGTACCGCGGACCCCTCCTGGGAGGTGGGGCCTGGACGTTCTGCTGGGCCTACTCGTGGATTTTGACGGTTCCGGGCAGGACAGCAGGGCCAGGAGAGAAGGAAAAGGGGTCGGGGGTCCCTGGGCTCCGGGGACTGGTTATTTAAATAAATGGAATTAATATGCCAACGGGGAGGGGCCATGAAAAGCGAAGGCTTTGAAAGAACGGGTTTCTTACTGGCGTAGGGTCAGCGTGTTTAAACACACCTTCGTCCCGATGGTACTGCTGAAACGAAAAAGCAAAAAGGGTTTTATAAAATCTTTAACTGATGGGGGGGGAAGGTTTCTGCACACTTGCCCCTTCTATCCTTGCGTCTGAACGCAGTTAAAAAAGGGTTTCTTAAGATGAAATGCAACCGTCCCAATCCTTTGCAAAATTGTCTGCAGCCACAGCCGTTCCCAGAACCTTCCCGCAGGGGTGGGACCACAGGTGGGGGAGCTCTGGGGACCCCCTCCCCAGGGGAGTCCGTTGGGGCGTCGGTAGCGGTGGGGAGGGAGGGAGGGGGGAGCCTGGCCACCTTTCCCTGGAAAGATGGATGGGGCTGGACCATTTAAATTAATGAAAAGATTAAACTTTTGCTGAAGGGGACATCAACTTTTATGTCATCTCACAGTCTTTCTGCCTGGGATCTGCAATATCTCCCAGGCCGTGATGTACTGTTTCTATAAAAATAAATTACTTGTAATTTAATTCCACACTATTTCTTTCAGTAGTCTATTACTGAACAGCACCTTAGCAGGCCAGACCGAGTTGGCAGAAAATTGCTTCTTGGGTGGCGACAGACCTTGAGAAAAGCCCTAAAATGAAAGGGGCGGGGGTCGGGGGGCAGTGGAGTGTGAGTGCTTATCGATCCAGAGGTGAATTACAATTTAGCAACTGTAAATAATAATAAAAATAAACAAGGGACTAGAAGAAAAGAAATAATTTCCTATTGGCCACGGGGAAAAGAATTGCATCGTAAAAAGAAGGCAGAAAGTGCTCGTAAAAACCAATTAGTTAAAACATCTACCCCGTTGTGTAGAAGCCATGGGGGCTGGGGGAGGCAAAAAAAAAAAAAGAAAGAAAGAAAAAGAGAGAGAGAGAGAGACAGAGAGAGCAAAATGCACTATATTTTAATCCTGTCTCTGAACTGTTTGGTAATCCTTTTCGGTACAGCCTGTTCTGTGTTGTTAAAGGCTAGAGTTTCAATTTAGTGTGGAAATTTGCTGTAAATAAATTGAAGATCTTTTGGAAGCTGGTCCTTATTAACCTTTTATTTTTAGTGTTGTGCGGGAAGCTCATATCACCCAGCTGTCAGGGTTATAATCGAAAGTTATGAGACCACGGTGAGGAGCGGGCGGTAATTTAATTACAACAAATATCTGTGGGTTTATGGCGCAGCGCTAAATTAAATGTCATTATTCACTGTCTGTAATGGAAATCAAAAGGAAATCAGATTACAGCATTTGTGAAAGAAATCAGTGACTGGTCCTTAATGAAGAAATAACTGTCTAAACCAGTGTACTGTGCTTTACTTAGCATATTCAGGACTAATTGGAATTGATCGTGAATCACCCCAAGACTGATTTATTATCGCTGAACGAAGCAGCTAATTCATCACTTTTATTCTCCATAATCTTATTTTTTCCTTCCCCCCCTGCTGAAGGGAAGGAGAGCTTGCTTTCTAGATTTAAGTCGGATTCTGTTTTTGAGAAATGCCTTGTGGGGGAGTGGGCAGAACTTGCCTGTCTGGCAGTGCTCTCCCGAGGTTGGATACTGGACCCCAAGGAGAGAGGGGCACCCAGGATGTCACAAAGGGTCCAGACCGACCCCCACCCCAAGGGGGTGGGCGGAGTCCTGGGTGGGGGGGGTGTGTAGAGGGGAAGAGGAGTATGAGTGTAGGAGGACAGAGGGCTGAATCTCAACTTGGAGGGGGCACAGTTTTTGGAAATACTTTTCAGGGGAACAGCGTCCAAGTTCTCCAGCCCCCCTGCAGCCTGGCAGGGTGAGCTCTCGAATGTTCTGGAAAGCCAATTCTGACAAGCGGGATTAGATAGAAAACTGCCCGTAAGAGTCTGGAACGGAGGAAAAGCTCAGCTTTCCCGACTGCCTGCTGCTCCCAGCCTCCCCGGGGGCTGAAGTTCCCCGATCCCCAGGGAGCGAGCGGCAGGAGCCCCTAGGCCCTGGGCTTGGAGCTGGGTCCCCGAGCTCCCTGGATGCAGTGCAGTGTGGCCCAGGGGAAGGCTTTCTTTGTGCTAATGACTCTGCACGGTCTGTGACCACCATCATGGCAGGAGGGTGAGTGAGGGTGGAGGGAAAGTTTTGGGGAAAGCCACTTAGGAAGAATTAACTGCCTAAGAACAAGGAGGGAGGTGAACCCAGATTTGGTCAGAGACAGCCTAAGGGCCATGGTGTTTGGCACCAGGGCTGTTTGGGGGAGGAGGCAGGGTGAGGGTGGGGAGTGGTGGGGTGTATTTGGGGCGGCTTTGCACCCGAATCTTGACATCCGGCCTGTGAAACTAGCAGGACTGGGAAGGGTCCCAACACCTTTTCCTGCCCAAACTCTTGATAAGGCCTCCCAAGGCGGGGAGGCCGAGTGCCTGTAGCGGGGAGCCTGCCCTCCGGGGGTGAGCCAGGTCCTCAGGGACCAAGGTCATTCACGACTCTGCAGTGTTAACTGGGACCCTCCAGGCTTCCAACGGAGGCACAGAGGACTTGGAAGTTTTTGGACTCTGTGTGGTCCAAGTCTGATTGGGGACAGCGTGGGATTTGGACATGGGTAACCACCTGTGTCCCCCACCCCTTCCTTGGGCACTAAGGTTGGGAGGTGGAAGGTCAGGCTTGTCCAAAGCGTGGTCGGTTGGAGGGGGGCTGCTCACACAGAATGGAACGTTCTCCGTCCCCCCAGCACCCACTTTCTCACTTTAAACATGTGATTACTGATGCTCCTGTCTCATTTAAGGGACAGGGAGGGTTGAAAAGTGAGTTGGACAATTCCCAGCTCCAGGTAGCTGGCTACAAGGGGCTGGGTGGGGGGAGGGAGGGGACAAAGGCAGGCGATGGGGCAGCTCTGTGGGTTTTCTGGCTCCTTGGGGCCAGGTTGCCTCTCACGACGCTCCAAGTGCCTTGCACGCTTTCTGGCTTTGAGAAGGAAGGCCTCCCTCCTGGTGGCCCTGTGGCTTACAGGGGTGCACGTCTGTCCACTCCGTTCCCAGGTCTGGTTCCAGAACCGGAGAGCCAAGTGTCGCAAGCAAGAAAACCAGATGCATAAAGGTGGGTGTGGGGGTGGCGGGCATGGAGGTGGGGCGCGTGGGGAGGCCGGCGAGGGGCTGGGAGGACCGGGCGGGTTCACACCTCCTGTTTCCTTGCAGGTGTTATCCTGGGCACCGCCAGCCACCTGGACGCCTGCAGGGTAGCGCCCTACGTGAACATGGGCGCCCTGAGGATGCCTTTCCAACAGGTAGCTCGTTTTTTTCCTTCCTTCTGAACCGCCTCCCCCGCCGCACTGGCGTCCTGTCCCCGCTTCCTCCCGCCCCCGCCTCCTCCCACCCCCACCGAAGAAAGGAGGCCGCTTTTACAAGGGGGCATTTATAAACCCTTTGGCACGTATTAACATCACGCTGTAAAACTCCACGAGGTACCTGTGGGAGGGCTAGGACATAAACCCAAACATAACTTTACAAAAATTGGAGGGAAAAATCCCACCCACCCAGGAACCACCCACCCGCTCGCCGCCCAGGAGCCTGGCGGGAGGAAGGGGTTGCTGCTGCTCGAGAGTCTGAGGGCTGGAGCTTCTGCACCCCACCCCACCCGCATCCCCACCCTCCGCCCCTAGCTTGTCCGGACGGACTGGGGCCGTCTGCTCCCCTCCGGGACGTGGGCCTTGCTCTGCTCTGCATTTCAGAGTGGGGGGCATCTGGCTCAAATCCAGGGAGAGTTAGGGGGTCCAGAGCGCAGGGTGCCCTGAGCGGACGTGGGGGCGGCCAGAAGGTCCAGTTGTCCCAAAGGCCTCGCTCCACTCTGGACCTTCGCTGAGTGGGTGGAGAGACTCCAGGCAGGAGGAGGGACCCGGCCTGTGGCCCCCATGTGGCAGGACGGGGCTGGGGGCCCCAGGGTGGCGGGCGGGGGTGCGCACGTTGGAGGAGGGGTGCTCTGGGCAGAGCGGAGGCGTGGCCTCCTCACGCAGCACTTCGGCTCCTACAGCCAGGCCGGGGGTTTGTATCGGGACCCCATCTGCTGAGGGCATGCGGTCCCATGGGTTTGGCCCGGCCTGGAGGGAGGGTCAGTTCCGTGTGGCATCGTGG